GCTGTGGCCACCGCTCCCCTGGCTGGCGGCTCTTCGGATGAAGGGGAAGGAAGCGAGGTCACGTCTCGTCCCCACGTGGGGGTGGCCCTTGGTGGGGGCAGGGTCGGACAGGATGGGGGCAGGGTGGGGGAAAGGAGACACAGCAGGGGACAGGTTGGGGACAATTTGGGATAGTCTGGGGACATGGTGGGGGATGCTGCTGGGGGCTCGGGGGACGTGGGGAACCAAGGATGGGTGTCCAGGAGAATGGGGCTCCAGGGGAATTGGCGTCTCCATGCCTGGGGGGATTCAGGGATGGGGGTGCTGTGGGAACATGGTCCCCAGGCATTTGGGCTCATGGCATGTGGGTGCCAGGGTTGTACGGGGAAAAAAAGAACCCTTGGGAAGAGGAGTTCTGGGGGAAGAATCAGCCACTGGGATGGGATCAAGGCAAGGCTGGTCCCGGGCAATGGCAGTGCTGGGATGGGGGTCCCTGGGAAGGAGAGACAAAAGTGATGGGGGTCCCATGACTGGGGAACCAGGAATGGGGTTGCCAGGGATGGGAAGTTTCTGGGGGGGCATGGGGGTCACAGCTCTTTCTCAGGGTGCCTCAGAATTTGGGGTGACCCAGGGCCCAGCACAGCCCCCAGTCCGGGTGCTCGTTTCTTGGGCAGCATCACATGGGGGTCCGGGGTTGCTCTGCCTCTGTGCCCTCCCCTGCCCTTGACTTTTCCCAGTCTTTATTTCTCCTTTTATTTTCCTCATTTTGTGCCATGTCCCCTGACCCCTGGTTCCTGGCTCATCAATCCAGGGAGCAGCTGAGCAGGGAATGGGTTGGGGGGACCCAGGGGAAGGGGAAAATGGGGAGTGGGGGGTGCAGGGAAGGGTGGGGAGGCTGTGGGGAATGGAGGTGTTGGGTTGTGCCTCTCCACACTTTCACTTTCTTTTTGCTGGACAAGAAGGAAGAGGCTGTTTGTGCTGAGAGTCAGATGGGAAAGGGGAGGGGATTCTGTCCTGGGGGAAAACCAGGGGAGTCCTGTCCTGGGAGGTCCTTGTTTTGGGGAAAGCCAGTCCAGGGGTGACACATCCTGGCATGGCGGGTCCTGTCCAGTGCGTGGCACTTCCAGAAATGTCCCTGCACATTCCTAGCCGGATGCCTGTTCCAGGGCTGGCACATCCTGGGCACCCCGTCAGTCCAAGGCTGGAGCCCAGCCATGGCCCAGCCCCACTGCACAGGGGTGGCCACTGGCCAGCCCTGCTCTGGCCAGCCCCAGGTGGCAGCCAGGACCTGAGGGTCCCCCCAGCCCCCTTGGCTTTGATTCTGGCAGCTTTAGAGCTGCTGCAGAGGTGAGAATCCTGTGGGGGAAGTGGCCTGCCTGTGGTTTGCTCAGCCCTGCAAGAAGCACAAAACCCAAAGGGAGCCCAAGCAGTGGCTCTGCGAGGGCCTTTGATGGTTTTCAGGGCAGGGCTG